TGACCCTCAAAATATCTAAACTTAGCCCAACTACAAAATCGTGGAGTCAAAAATTGCTAAACGTAGTAGGAATGAGTTCAAATCACAGTGGTCACTACCTATCTAAGATATAACATCGTACGAAATATAATAGGGTCAGGTGATTGTATCTAGAGATTAGTCAAGATGCGTGCAAATTGGCCCAAATACTCAATGATATCTTAAAAAAAAAAAAAGAACTTGGCAATAAAATAACAAATTTAACTTTTTTTTAGTTAAATGTAATGTCATTTTCCAATGTGACCATAGGATCATTTATTAATTAGAGATGGTGTAGTTAAAGGGGAACATCAATTAGAGTTTAGGCCTTCCATGAATCTTACCTACCAACATTTTGTTTCCCATTTCTCTTTTATTTTATTTTATTTTTTAATATGGTTCAAACTTCACACCACAACCTTCATAAATTCTCCAACTGCTGGGTTTATAATTAAAATAAATAAATAATAAATTTTTGGATGCTCATGCTTGAACTGTTTTCTTTTTTCCTTCACAAATATGAAAGAAAGAAAAAACTAATTTTCCAAGCAACTCCAAATCCTGATAATGTAAAAGAATAAAATAAATATGTATTTTCGAAAATAGTAGAAAGTTTAAAATTTTATAAAAGTAAAAAAAAGCATAGTTCAAACAAAGTGAAACTCAAATGTAATATAAAATATATTAAGATAGAATCGGAAAGTTGTGACATTTTTATTTTAAATACATATTAAATTTATGCTAGAGTGAAATTTCCTTTTTATTAAGTTATTTTGATGTCCAAGTGTCTGTACAAATGTTTGAAGCTATCTCTAGACGGACACGTGTCAGTTTTTTTTAGAATATATTTAACTTTTTAAAAATTAATTATTGATTTTTTTGGTCAAATTTAAAGACTAAAATAGAATATTTGATACTTGGGATAAAACTAGAATATTCGAGAGTTAAGGGATTAAAATAAAATAGTATCAAATTCATAAACCAGTGATGAGTTTGACATAGTTTTTAGTAACCTCCATCGGAACTACAAGAATGTTAATCACTTTAAAGTCGGTTTTTCAGTTTTTAGATAGTCATCTCTCACGCAATTTTTCTAAAAATAGATTTCCTAGCCATCCATTTTTTAAAATATATTTTTTCATTTATTACTAAACCTTGTGAGCTTTGTCTAAAATCACTTAGGAAGCTGCTAATTACACTCTAATCGATAATTCTTTCTTAGCTTTTTAACTTTCTAGCTAATCGCATCCAAGGGACAGTCTGATTGGCAAAGATTTTGGGTCCTTTAGTCATATTGGTTTAGAGGTATTAAGTTCGAATCTGTCGTTAAACTTAATACCAAATATTTTGGTGTCTCTTGGGTCCGGGCGTGGGTGTCCCTAGGCATGGGGAGCAAAGCTCCCTTATTCTCAATTATATAAAAAAAAGTTCAATCTTTATAACTGACCATTTAGGTTCTTGTGTTGGGGCAGGTTCAGCTTGGACAATACTTTCAAGATCTTTTGCTGAGTACTGCATAGTGGGGTGGGACAATCTCCCAAGAACTCTCCTCCTCTACTACACCAACTTTGTTTCTTCTCCAGAGGGATACTTCCAAACCCTAATCTGCAACTCTGATGCCTACAGAAACACCACAGTCAACCATGATCTTCACTACATCACTTGGGACACCCCTCCCAAGCAGCACCCCCGCTATCTCGGCCTCGGGAACTACAAGAAAATGCTCGCCAGCAACCGCCCCTTTGCCCGAAAGTTCAAGGAGAATGACAGGGTCTTGGACAGGATCGACCGCGACATCCTCAAGAGGCGCCATGGCAGGTTCGCCTACGGCGGGTGGTGCTCGGGAAACGGGGCTTGCTCGGGTTTCGGAGGTGAGAACTATGGTGTTTTGAAGCCTGGGCAGGGGTCTAGGAGGTTGAAGACTTTGCTCAATAGGCTTCTTTCAGTTAGGTATTTCCATAAATTGCAATGCAAATAGATTTATTTATTCTTTAGTACTATGAATAAAATCCACACCAACTTCTATATATAGTGCATGTTATTAATTGACCATTCGAACCTAGTTTAACTCATTAATGCATATATAATTGGTCAAACAGTGGAAAGTTAACTAAAAAAATATTATTTAAAACTAAGTTCTTCTGGTCGTAATTTATCGAAGAAGAAAAAAAAAGCTTATTCTAGTCGTATCAATATTTATATAATATTTTGAAAAATCAACTTATAAATTTTGTTAGAAAATGGAACTTTTCTACTTCACCCAACGGTCACTATGTGTAGTCGGCCCCTCATTTATGAGCTCTGCTGGTGCTTTCCATAGATGCTTTCAACCAATGTTCCACTTTCCACCCCCAAAACTTTATTCAAATTAATTCCAGAACCCATTAAAACCCCCCAAAAAATTGAATAAAATTAATATGTAACTAAATTAATAAAACAATAACCAGTACATAATTAATCATAATAAACCTGAAAAATAAGGGTTAAATGTTAACCCTCGCTGTGGCGGGCACGGCGGAAGAAACTTCAGATCATTTGATCGGAGAGCGACGGCAGGCGCCGGAAAAAGTTGGCGGGAACCGACGGCATGTCGTCGCGGAACCGCGGGTGGCGGAGGTAATAAACTCCGAATCCCAACAAAAAG